GTTTAGGACAGAGAGTGAATACCGGTGAATACACATACTTTACAGAGATGCTGTATGAGAAACCAATATGAGTTTGGAAAATTGCACAGTATAAATCTATTTTAGTAGACCTCAACAATGGAATTATGATCAGTAGAAATGGCCATGACATGTGACCTTTAACAAAGCGGACTCATGTCAGAAGGAATCAGAAGACAATCTGTGTTGGGGAGGCAGACACCCACTTCACTTTTAAGACCAGGCTTAAGACTTATTGACGAAGCTTTTAGGGTTGGCTCAGGCTTACCTTGATGTGTCCTCTAGTTATGTTATAGGCTTAAGCTGCGTTCACATAACAGGCGGTAAAACAGCTCTGGGCTGACATTGCCGTTTGGTTTTTATGGGGAGATGGAGGGGCCGTCGACTAGGCGAAAGTGCTACCCTCTTCACACCGCCCAAAATTGTCTCTCAACGCTCGATTCAAGTTCAAATAACTTCTACTTTGACCTCAATTGTCGCTGACACTCGGCGCGCAACCAATTAGATGACAGCTGTGCTAAGCTAGCAGGGGGAGGTAACCATAGAAGGAAAACTTAGGCTTAAAACTTTACCTTTCAATAAAGGTTATATTTAGGGCTGGTTCAGCAAACCATGAACAAGCCCCTAGCTATGCTGCTATAGGCTAAGATGTTTCTCTTTCTCTGTATGTACATAACTGCATGTTATTAACTCAGAATCCAGGGGCATTATCCCCTACGTATTTGGATTCATTTTACATTTTTTCCACATTATCGTTTTTGTCAATCTGTCTGTGTTATCATGTTTTTAAATCCATACAGACGACATATATTCCAACTATTATAGAGGGATCCCTTCTATGTTGCTCTTCCTGAGGTTTTTCCATTGTGAGATGTCTTTCCAGGGGTTTGATGCTGTGTAAACACTGTAACGCCCCCAGAGAGAAATGTGTATTTTGTGATATTGGGATGTAAAAATAACATTTGATTGATTGATTGAGCCGAGGATTTTGCTAACAAGTATAACAGGTAGTAACACTGCAGCATGTCCTCCACCTACCTGCAGACTGTCTCCGTGCACAAACACCTGTGCCACTGCATCGCTCCTCATGTACACATTCTCTATCTTCTCAGGAGCGATGTACTCCCCCTGGGACAGCTTAAAGATATGCTTCTTCCTGTCCACGATCTTCAGCGTGCCATTCTGTCAACACACACAAGGACATCTGATCAAACGTCTGCAGGTTGTTAGAGATACAGAAGTTTGAGGTTGAATTCAAACTGTATTACTGAACCTACAGGAAGCCATTTTCCAACGTCTCCGGTGTGCAGCCATCCATCTGCATCGATAGCCTCTGCCGTCTTCTCTGGGTCCTTCAGGTAGCCCTGGAACACGTTAGGGCCCTTCACACACACCTAGAAACAAGCACAAACTTATACATGAAGTACTTTATCATAAAATATATATAAAAGATAGAGTTGTTGTCTTTTTGTTTCACCTCTCCCTCCCCGTTTACAGCCAAGTAGTTCATCTCAGACACATCCACCAGTTTAAGGGAGTTACAGGGCAGAGGAGCTCCAACGTGACCTGCAGGGCAATGTTACATAATTAAGTATTAAGGTTAAGGTTAAGTTATTGTAAAGCTCAGTACAGTGCGACGTCATACACACAAAGGCAAGTAAAGCAGCCCTCTTATTCATAGTGTTGGTTTCAATAACATCAACTATGACTGAAAATGTTATTCAACCACTTTTCTTCCACCACTAAAACAGAGATGCAACAGAACAAATGTATGACTTTAAAATAAAAGCAGTATTTCTCTTTTGTTAACAGAAAAGAAGGAGTTTAATATGATTGACAATTGGTGAAGTCCTAATCAGAACAAGCTAAGATGAGAAGAGAAACATATTTTGGCAAGACTAGCTTGAATAAGAATGTGAAAAATTGTTTGTTGACTAAAACTGTTTTCATTGACTAAAACTAAAATATTCACGCTTTTTCTTTGACTAAGAGATAATAACAAAATACCCAGACTTTGAGTCAAATAAAACTTGATCACAAAAAAAGGCTGAGTTTGACATAATAGGATCAAAATAATGACATTTAAAACTGGACTGAGACTTAATAAAAGAAATAGCCAACTAAATGTACATGTGTTATTCATTACCTGCATTGTACTCCCCGGGCATGGTCAAGGTGCATCCAGCAGTACACTCTGTCTGTCCATAGCCTTCATAGAGCTGAGACAGACAGCAACAAAACATGATTATTATATTGAAAAAAATCAAATTAAAATAATAACAATAATAATGTTTTTGTATTGTTATTATTATTTTAAAAGATTATACAAAATTAATTATGTAATGAATGCTATTCAAAACACAATTATGTTATTATTGTTAATAATATCATAATTTTTTGTATCATAACTGCTTATGCTGTACAAACACATGATTATGTTTTTATCATTATCATGTTACTACTACTACTACACACATGATTATGTTATTATTATTATTATTACTACGACTGTTATACACACACATGATTATTACTACTATTCCTACTGTGGCTGCTGCTATATAAACACATGATTATGTTATGTCAAACAGACAGGAATATAGAAAAGGAAATGTCATGAAATGTAATGATTTAATAGTTAACTTCAGATTGTTTTATATTACCTGGGTATTCTACAGAATTCCAGGACATGTGATGTGATATAAAGAGACGGAGCAATGTAGAACAGAGTGAGCTGGTGTTTATTACCTGGCAGCCTATAGCAGCTCTGAGGAAGGTTAGGACCGTGGGGGAGATGGGAGCAGCTCCTGTCAGCATGAGACGCACACGGCCTCCGAGGCTGGCCTGTAGGGGGCAGCACAACACAAAAGACAACATCAACAACCGCCCATCATGTCTACCCCCCTCACCGCTTAAAATATCTGATTTACTTTCTTAACGTATATAGATCACTTTGATATTAATGCAATGCCTTATAATACCTGACTGTCTTTTTGGGAGAAACTTTTATTTGGTTGTTTGGGTAATTGTCACCCCCAAATTGTTTGTGTAACCATTTACTGACAAACATTTTAATAGAAGGCAGGGTTTAACAGAAGAAAAAGATGTTGCTGGAACATATGGCCAAAAACAAAATCATTGGGGGTCTTTCAAGCTTTGGGTCAAATAAAAGTTACTACTTTACTTCAAAAGGCAAAAAGACAGCTGGAGTTGTCTGTGCCTTTTTATGCACATTAAAATAACTGTTCCACGGAATTAAGGGAATTTTGCCTATCAACGAACCCTAGTGAAACACATTACTGGACACATAGCACTGAACTCTACAGTGAGGTTCAGAGTTGTGCCTGGGCTGCTCTGTACCTGAACCTTCCCGAAGATGAGTCGATCCCAGATGCTGTCTCTCCTCACGATGCCTCTCTTGATCTCAGACTCCTTCCTCCTGTAGGCGAACCCCAGCAGCCAGCGCTTCAGGGAGGTGTTAGCCTGCCCGAAGATCTACACACAGACACACACAACATTACTATTATCATCTTTAATGTTGGTCATTATTCAACTATAAAGCAAATAATCTGTGTGAGTGTGTCCTCCAGCTATTTAAATAACTGTTCATCTGATCTATGGGTGTATTACGGTAGATACCCATTGATTCTATACATAACTCTATATTTTTCACAAATAAACACCTCAATAACTCTGTAGCTGTTATGCGGCCTTTCCTCACATAATGGTAATATTTTCCCTGGGTTTTTATTTCCACTGAATGTATTTCACCAATTTTGCTGTAACTTTGGTGTGTTATTGAACTATGTCATGACAGGACATGAGTAGGACTTTTCCCTTCCCTGTAGTGTATTCTATAGACCCTATTTACACGGGAACGTTTGCGTTTGCGCAACAAATTCGTTTAGAAAAAGTCTTCCGTTCACACACATTTGGCTCATTTAACGTGTCCGTTCACACGAGACCACTGGAAACGCCGTAGTACATATGCCGGGCCTGTAAGTGGCGCTGTACTTCCGCAGGAGACCGCTCGAAAGCGATGGAGACGCTGTAGTACATATGCCGGGCCTGTAAGTGGCGCTGTACTTTCGCCACATAATACACCAAAAGCAGCGAAGAAGACCCCCGAGCATGGTTGACATTGTTGCCCCTCTGTTTATTGTCCGCGGTGGATTTAGCAACATGTAGTTCATGTAATTCTCCATGTCCACTTGTTGCTGATGGTTGTGGTAGAGGAGCTGTAGATTGTGCACTAACATCTGTAGCATTGGTCAGTAGCAGTAGCTACTGACCATGCTACAGCAGTGAGCAGCAGAGGTGGGGAGAGGTGGGGCTATGGCTCATCGTTATCAGGAAAATTATCGTATAGGGCGTAAACACGGAGCCGTTTGCCCCCTCAGAGCGTTCCGTCCGCAGATCCATCCACCTTGGGACCCGTTATCGTTTGCAGGGTCCGCTTCCGCGTTTCCGTTACGGCTTTGTGTGGCCGAACGGGCTAAACGAAAGAGAAAAGTTGCGGATACAACCGTTTGCGTTATTGTGTAAACACTGCCTAAGAGGCTATTCATCACCGTTTTGCCCACTTACCTTATCATACATTCTGTTGAGGAGTCGGGGCACCACAGGGAACACAGTGGGCTTCAGTGTGTTCAGGTCATCTGACAGCAGACGGATATCTCCCTGGAAAAAGCCGATCCTGGCTCCGTGCACTATCATCACTCCCTGCCAGCAATTTACAAAAGATACAGAAGGGAAAAGTTAAAAGTCACCATAAAGTAAAAGAAAAAAGAAATGGACACACACACAGAAATATTTAACAAAGGGTGACTATAGGAACTAAGGGAAAATACAATACCTGGACTACTCTCTCAAACATATGAGCCAGGGGCAGGAAGGAAATATGGACATCACTGTGAGAAAACGGAGCCCACACCTAAACACACACACAGGAATACAGACACACACACAGCAGGGGATGGGACAGACGGACAGGGAAACACACCAACACACAGACAGGAAGGAGAGCAGTCAGTGTTCATGTTTGTACCTCCACCACTCTCTCAAACATGTGGGCCAGAGGCAGAAAAGACAGCAGGACATCCTCTGAGGTGGTCTGAGCGTTAGACTGGAGAAAAGAGGGAAGAGGTTATAACGGTCCTCGCTCAGCAAACTAAGATTTATAACCTTTATCATTAGTTCTTCCTTTTGAATATGATGGTGGCACTGCTGGATCCTAAATCAACTGAGGGTTGAAAAAGGTTGATACAACAGGCGGGACCAAGACATGAGGCCTCAGTTAAATCTGGCAATGAACAACAGTTTACAGAAACTGACCATTATCTCCAAAATATAACTTCAAGTTTTAAATTGTAGATTTAATATACTGTTTTCTCCGTTGCTTTACTCCTCAGTAACTCTGTTGTAGCACAGGAGAAATATCAGCATTGTTAGTTATTAGGTTAGTTAGTTATAATAAGGCAGAAAATAAAGGGGAAGGAGGATGTACAGGAAAAAACAGTCAGAGAAGGAAATAATGAGATAGGGGATTAAAGAACAAACGGCAGAGGTATAAGAGTAATGGACGAGGTAGAGAAGAAGCTATGGAGAAAATAGGAGGTTCATGAAAAAAACAGTCAAAGTAGAGAAGAACAGAATGAAGTAGGAGAGAAAAGGAGGTATAAATAGAAATTAAGTAAGGGGGGAAAGGGGGATGTAAAAAATGAAAAGGGAGGTAGAGGAGAAAAGGAGGAGGTAGAGAAGGAATGGAGGAGGAAGGAGAAGAAAAAACGAAGTAGAGAAGGAAAAAAGGAGGTAGGTAGGAAAGGAGGCACATGACAAAATAATGCAGAGAAGCTAAAAATTAGGTAGAGAAGGAATGCAGGGACTAGGGGAGGGAAAGACAAGGGAGAGAAGGAAATAAGGAGGTATAGGATAAAAGGAGGTGGCGGAGAAGGAGATGAGGATAACAGAATAGTAATGGATGATATCACATCAGCGCCTCACCTCTGTCGTTTTGATGAAGGCCGAGCAGTTGGACACGACATTCCTGTGAGTCAACATCGCTCCCTTTGGGTTTCCTGGACACACACACACACACACACACACACACACACACACACACACACACACACACACACACACACACACACACACACACACACACACACACACTAGAGATCACTGTCAGTGTATGTGGACAGTAGGATTTCAGGCAGTCATGGATATTACATTGGGTGTGTGTGTGTGTGTGTGTGTGTGTGTGTGTGTGTGTGTGTGTGTGTGTGTGTGCGTGCGTGTGTGTGTGTGTGTGTGTGTGTGTTTGTCACCTGTTGTTCCACTGGTGAAGCAGATGAGAGCCATGTCCTCAGGTCGTGGAGGCTGCAGGGAGAGCAATGGGTCAAACAGGGCCCAATAATAACACACAACATCGTCGTCATCATAAGTATTCACTGCTGATCGGTCATCTACGCTGTGGTTCTCAAAGTGGGGTCCGCGACCCCCCGGGGGTCCTTGGCACTCTGCCAGGGGGTCTGTGAAAAGTTTTCAGATTCAGTAATTTAAATTGTCATATTATTTTTTTTTCATTTTTTTTTTTTACAAAAGGCTTCATAGTTCAACAAATAATATTTTATTTTTTTAATCTAAAATAGTTCAAAGATTATGTTCTAATCTACCAAATCTATACATTTAAAAATCAAGCGTGGAACCCGTTACCGTGGAAACAACAATAACTGGTACGTCAGTCAGAAAGCGCCGCTGCTAGCATCATAGAGATATAACACGGCTAGCATACTACGAAGATGGACAGATTTTTAAAACGACCGGTTACGGCTACAAATGAAGTAAATGAAAAACTAAAAACAAAAGTAAGGAAATACGATGAGGAGTATCTCCAATATATATGGATTTATTGAAGTGGAAGGGAAACCGAAATGTCTGATATGCCTGCGGTGTCTTGCCAATGAGGCGATGAAGCCTGCCAAATTCAACGGATGGTTAATGTTACGTCTGTTTCTGCCAAAGCGCAAAGTTGAACTTTAAACCATTCTGGTTGGTTGGGAACCCTCATCCCGTGTGATGTATCCGGTTTGAAACCCCTCTGATTGGCCACTGTAAATGCCACTCCTCATCTCTCTCAACAGCGCTCTTATTATTGTTGTGAGACTCCCGCAGGCATGGCGGACAGTGCGAAGCGATCCAAGGTCTGGGTGCACTTTAAAAAAATTTAGTTGGCGATAGTGCAAGGTGCAATCTATGTACTCAATTAGTTGCTTGTAAAGGGGGTGACACAAGACAACTTAAATTGAAGCATTTGTCAACCAAGACACTCATTGAATCTAAAACGGTAGCTCGCGATACTGCTAGTGCTAATAGTGCTAGCGGGCTTCAGCCGCGCCGTGTGTAAATGTGACCTGAGCGAAGGCTCGCAGCAGGTTAGCTGCTGCGCACGGGTAATATGTTTTGTTTACCTGGGTGCAGTCTTGCAGGCACATCGCCTTGTCTTTTTTTAGTTTATTAACACCAAATTATTGAAAAGTATCGATAAGAGTATCGAAAAATACCGATACGATAAGCAGTACCGGTACCGGTACCAGTATCGATAAAATCCTAACGATATTACCGATCCCTAGTCAAAATCATTGAGTCCTGAGCTACAGTCCGTTCTCAGCACGGTGGTATCTGTGGTCAACCACATCAAGTGTAAGCCACTGCAGTCCCGTTTATTCGGCCAGCTCTGCAGGGAGATGGGCGCAGGACAGGACACCCTGCTGTTCCATTCAGAGGTGCGTTGGCTCTCCCGTGGAAAAGTGGGCCTGTACGTACCGGGTACGAGAACTTCGACCAGAGACAACAGGATTCTTTGTAGTCGAAATGATTCACTTCCCCTCACTGAAATTACGCTCTGTCAACATTTGCATGTGGACATCACGCTTCATTAGAAAGTTTTACAGGAAAATCTGTAGCTTTGAGCCCCGCAAAGAAAAAGTTACTCAGAGTTTCCTTCGAAGTTGTTGTTCTCTATGACGACTTGTCGAATCTAAAAATCCGCGGTATGAAAAGTCACGATTATAAAACGGTTGTTATAATTTTAAACTTCGGGTTTGTGCTTATAACAGGATGCCGGTTGTCGCATTCAGTGACTTGGTAATCAGGTCAAAATCATAGGACCGCATGAAGAAAAGTTTCGTAGATAAAAAAAACCGCCCGTTGACACCAAGAAACTGAATCTTCGCCAACCAAACGACCAGGTTTTTCCAATCTCACGCCACGTCGCTCTACTCAAGGATTTGGGCGTTGAAATGTTGACAGGGGAGCCGATTTACACTCGAATGGGGGGGATAGTTTTGTACACCCGCTTTTATTCTATGTAAACCGAAAAACAGCCCTCCTCGGGTGGGGGGGGGAACGGCGACGGATTGGATGTCCAGGCCCCCCTCAAGCGGATATTTTAATCCTACTCGTTGCTAATAATTCCATACATTGAAAATTTATTATACCAAGAATAACGGAACTTGAAAAAAGAGATACGTAAGAATGGAAAAGAATTACTTCTCGCACTACCATCTTGACGTTAGTCGGGTGTGTAACTGCTAAAATACTACCCAGAACCGACAATCTTGTCGGTCGATTGTAACATAGGAACTCAGGACTCTGTAGTTCCATTCAAATAAACGCTACTATAGTTTGTAACTATCAATGACGGTAAAGTGGTGAGTCACGCGGAGTATGTCAAGGATAAAAATAAACAAAAGTCCACAAACTGGAACGATCATCACGAAGTAAGCAGACCTAGCCGTAATGGGACAACTATATGACACACCATATGGTTCATAAAATATCGGGTAGCGAATAATGACTTGTCGGTAATAAAAGTTATTAAAAAACTCGGTAAAAGAGGGTTCCTTTCAAGAATGAGGTTGTACTGGGGGGGGGGGGGGGGGGGCAATTGTAAAATACGCGGAAGTTGACTTACGAAGAGTTTTGGTGATTACTACACAGCCACGCTGTAATCATAACCGTGTGAGAACCGTACCTTTAAATAGACTCTGAGACCACTTACGGAGACCTGAACCACAACCAACCACACACACGACACACACACACACACAACACACACCACCACACACACACCAACACACCGACACGAACCACACACACGAACCACACACACCCCCCACAACACCACACCACACACACACCACACACACACACCACCACACACAAAAATCACCGTCGTAGTCACTCGAGGCCCGCAACCCATGTGGATAAGAGACACCAGCCACGGGAGACATGCTGTGTGAACCCCCGGTGCCCCTTCCGCCATAGCGCCACGATGTTAGTATCGTCCCTTCCATTCTATCGTATGTATGTGAAATAACGTTAAATCTGGTAACAAGACATACATTTTAGTGGAAAATAAAACATCTAGGGTTACCCCACGTTCTAAAGTGGGACTGGAAGACCGATACAAAATCATTTTTAACACACACAACCACACCACACACACACACACCTCCGCACACACACACACACACACACAAACCACACACGACCCTCACACCCAACACACACACACCACACACACACACGCACACACACACACCACACACATCGAAGGTAGAGCTGACAAAACCACCACTGCAACTCTCTTTCACCTCACCACGACCTAGACACAAAAAATCCTGTCCTCCGGGAGTCCAACGTTCGTGAGCAGGACTACCCCCGGTCACCAGGACTGGGACCGCAGTCGTCCCGGTCGGTCCGCCCAGCCTAGTGTAGTAGTCGGACGTCCCTACCTCCCAGTCGTACCTGTCGAGTGAGCACAAATAAGAAGATTCCAATACAAGTTAATACGAATAACTTTACGAAGAGACAATACAACGAACAACAAACCTGTAATAACAATCAAATGAAAGGGGAACAGACAAAAAGACTATGAAAAATCAAGAGGGAAAAAATACACAGTAAACATCAAATAGAAAAAAAACAAGGAAACAACAAACCGACGAAATGCACGATTGAAGGAAAACACGATTATGTTAAGAGTCAAATTTAATTGAATTAATTGAACAGACCAAGAAGGCAGCCCCCCGCCGGCACCAAAAGAACAAGACAACAGGATAAAAATCAATCCTAAATCTGAAAAGTAAGAATAACGAAATCACCAAAAAAAAACAGTGAAATAAGGAGTTGTTAACGAAGCTACTACAAAAAAAGAGGAACAAACGAGGTCCGGAAACTCCCGCATGGTAGCGGTTGTTAACACTTCGATGTTCTGGTCGGGGAATGTTATATCTCTTATGTGGTTCCTGGGGAGCAAAGAGACGTAACACTAAAACCGTGATACATAATTATTTTACTGAACTAGGAACTGTCCCGACAGGGAACGCTGATTAGACCTGCATCGGGATAAAAATGTTGAAGATATCAAAGAACATCAATACACTTCTTTTGTGTCGGTCTTTCACATAAATCGTTTCTATAAATCTAGCTTATGGGAATTGTTAGTAGTTAATCGACGGTTCATTGTGACCACATGGGATTGTTTTATAGTTCGCCTTAGTTCCTCTTTCAATAGTAAACTTCACGTAAAGGTCTTGTATGGTGTTGTGTGCTGTTTATCTTCTATTGTTGTAGTTCACAACAGTGAGAATAATGTCATTATGTTAGTGTTCTATATTTACGTCCGCGAATATTTGTTACACTTGTGTACCGGACGTAACGTTGCTATATAGTTCATTAAACCGGTTTTCGTTGACGGTTGACGTACACGGGATTTTAAGTTGTGGATGAACATTCCGGTTGTCCGAGACCTGTGAAATAACCTCCAAACTAACGTTCCCGTCAGTACTCGGGACTAACGTAACTAATACAACGAGTGTGTGTTGCTGTGTGTGTGTGTGTGGATGTGTGGTGTGTGTGTGTGTGGTGTGTGTGTGTGTGTGTGTAGTTGTGTGTGTGTTTGTGTGGTGTGTGTGTGTGGTGTGTGCGCCCAATTTCACCCGGCCTTGCTAGGTCTTGTCGCAAGACCGTGGAAAAAGCTAATTATTTCATTTATTAGACTACGTCAAGTATGTATATTTACATCCCTCAAGTGTCCGGAACGGTTGAGATGTGTTGTCGGAGAGTCGTGTTCAGGTAAAAAGTAGTTCCGTCCACTTTTGTTTAAGTATTGACTATACAAGTTACAAGCTTTTCTCCTGTGATGAACGTGTAACACGTTGTCGTCACTCTCTCTTTGCTCTCTACCTCTCTCCTTCCTACTCTCTCTCTCTACTCTCTCTCTCCTCCTACTCTACTCTCTCTCCGCCTTCTCTCTCTCACTCTCCTCTCCTCTCTCTCTCCTCGAACTTCTCTTCTCTCCTCTGACTCTCTCTCTCCTCTGTGTGGCACAGTGGCAGTCACTATCATGTACCCTCCGTTCTACGCTTGGCTAACATAAAAAGTGGTTAGAGTCGACCATAACCAAAAACAAGTTTTTAGACACTCACCCCTTACAGACACATTAAGGTAAAACGTTGGCGGAAGAAGGTCTAAGCACAAAAACCGTGCCTTCGAACAAAACAGTTGTTTATACTAATATATTATATTAATATAATTGTAATATATATCATATAGACGGAACTTGCCTTTTGACTCTAGCGAAGTTATTCAACGGTTTGTTAGACGCTCCATCCGCTCGACACGCTAGTAAAAGCCCCAAGCTCTCTCCACGAAACTCACCACCCGAACCAAGTAAAAAGACCTACCTTGCGTGTGTCGAGACCTCCGTCAAGCAATTGGG